AAAAAAAAAAAAAAAAAAAAAAAAACTTCCTTGTTTGGAGAAATTAGGTTACACTTGAGGACAGGAAAACAACCCTGCTACACATGCAAAATGCACAAAACTACAATTATACTATTTTTATGGAAAAAAAACAAAAGTCAACACTTTTTTTAATACATGTACTCTGCTATTTATTGAAATCTATAATAATTTTATTCAAATAAATAAATAAAAAATACTATTCTCATTATACATATATATTAAAAAAAAATTACAAAAACTTTGTTATTTTTTAAAAAATTATATTAGTTAATAATTAAAATATCATAATATATTACTAGTAACAAATATAAAATATTTTTAATTTTTATATCGGATTGAATTATTGTTCTATTTTTTAATTGATCAAGTCAAGATCCATCAAAATAAAATTTTTTAAAAATTTAATTTAATTCAAAAAAAAAGAAAAAAAAATCAAATTAAGTTTGGATGGTGTGGATTCATCAACGTAAAAGACGAGCCGAGTAAGGTGCGGGTAGATAAATTGGCGCATCAGAAATTCTCATCAGAACAGAGCCGCCGCCGTTACAGTAAACGGCCAAAAATTAACGGAAACGGCAGAATGAAACGTTTCAAAAATCCAGCTCTGCACTCACACTAACAAACATACCCTTCTTCTTCTTCTTCTTCTTCTTCTTCTTCTTCTTCAAAGCTCTCACATCTTCAGCTGCTCCAGAAACGTGAAACCAAAATTTCCTTTTTAACTCTGTTTCTCATCATCATCTCTCTCTTTCTGTGTAATGGAGACGTCTCTCACTTTCCATTCCTAGCGTTTCTGCTGGAGCTACTAGCAGAGAGCTTGAAAATCTGAGTTGTGGAGAAATTTCGGCGGACTTTTTCTGTTTGGAGCTGATTTTTACAGCGAGATCTGATTGGTACGGTTTTTGAGCTATGGAGGAAGATAACGGCGCTCTGATTCAGAGCTTGATCGATGTTGTGAACGAGATTGCGTGGATCTCGGATTTTAGGCTTACTGTTAAGAAGCAGTATTGCAATTTGTCCAGGAGATTGAAGCTTTTGATCCCAATGTTTGAAGAGATTAGGGATACCAAAGAGCCAGTGTCTGAGGATACTCTCAAGGCTCTCGTGTCGTTGAAAGAAGCCCTCGAATCGGCTAAGAAGTTGCTCAGATTTGGAAGCCAGGGGAGCAAGATTTTTCTGGTGAGTTTGTGTTATTGTGTGTTATCTTAATTTTTTCTTTAGTGCTGAGTTCTTGTCTGGCTTTTTCTGCCTTTGTTTCTTATTTTTGATTTTGATACGGTTGCTTCGTAATCCTGTATTTCTTTCGCCTTACTCTTTTGATTGAAAGTCGAGGGAATATCGGTTCCCATCATTCTAGAATTGTGTATTACCTGGATTTGACTTAATGGAAATTTCTCATCCTTGCTGTCAAAGCTACAGTGTATTTAGGTCAATAACATTTTGGATGCAAATTCGAACATTGAAAATGCCATAAAATATCTCTTCTACGTGTAGTCCGAATTTATGTGTGCTAGGAATGAAACTTTTAGAAGACTGTAATTTCAGTCGTTGATTCCATTTTTTGCATGTTATTTACATCATTATGAAACGACAGAGATTTAAATCATCAAATTCCTTGTGTGTGTCAAATTGGCAAGTGATTGAGTAATGAAAATTTACCATTTTGTATTTCTCTCTACGATTCAACTACTTGCATTTTATATCCAATTTAAAATGGGTAAGCTAAGCTTAATTGGTTTCATCGATCAGACTTACTCATCCGCTTGCATCTGTGTTGATTGTTTCCTTGTTCTCACTTAAAATTTATCTGATATCAGTACATTCACGTGCTTACAACTTCTAGTCAGATGATGCATCAAATTTGTACGGCTAATATTCAAACAAAAGGAAGAAATATCTGAAGCGTTATAGATAATTTGTTAGCATATCTTACTTTTTAATCCAACTTCATTTTATTATCAATTCAAGGCCGTTGAGAGGGAGCAAATTATGGTCAAATTTCATGAGGTAACGGCTCAGTTGGAACAAGCTTTGGAAGGAATACCCTACGATAAACTTGATGTATCCGATGAAGTTAAGGAGCAGGTAAAAAAAAAACTATTTCATTTTACTTTGAATTTTGTAGTCTCTGGACACGGGTACCTGCATGATTGGCGATAAGACTAGCTCTGTTTGATAGACTATTATATCAGCAATAAATAAACCTATTTTTTTTTATCTTCAACATCTTTCTTTTGATTTATTCAACTGCTGTTCAATTAAGAGATTGTTTTAATTATAAAACTCTGAACTATTTCTCAATTTTCATTGCTGTCACATATTGAGAATATTATATTACAAAGAAAAAACGAGAGGAATCAAACCCATAGTTGATAGTAGAAGTGTAACGACCCAAGTCCCCCGCTAGTAGATATTGTCCTTTTTGGGTTTTCTCTTTTTGGTTTCCCTCAAGGTTTTTTAAAACGCGTCTACTAGGGAAAGGTTTCCACGCTCTTATAAAGAATGTTTCGTTCTCCTCTACAGCCGATGTGAGATCTCACAAAAAGACAAACATTAATGTCTAACCACAATGTTTGTCTGGAGCCCAAGGTTGGGAAATAAACCGTACGGTACGTTCATGATAATCAATGGTGGTATGAGCTCCCTGATGGTTAAGATGAATATCAAATGAATTAAAAGTGTAGACGTTGAACGTGACTTCAAAAATATTATTAATCCAAACGAAATATAAGTAGTACTTTAGAGATCAAAAATAATTTAACCTATAAAAAATTACAGAGGACATGGAAGAACCTATGCAGTGATTAGAACTTCATCTGTGTTTATCTCAACAAGATATTAGATAATTTGTCGAAACTTTCAATTAATATTTTTAAAATCTTTATTTACACATTGAGAACCATGTATGCAGGTCGAGCTTGTTCTTGCTCAGTTCAGAAGAGCCAAAGGCAGGGCCGATACCCCTGACTCTGAGCTGATGGACGATATCCTTGCCCTTTACAACACAAGCAATGATTCTTCTGTGGATCAGAATCGCCTCAGGAGATTAGCTGAAAAATTACAATTAATTGGAATATCCGACCTTACACAAGAGTCCATAGCTTTGCATGAGATGGTTACTGCTAGTGGAGGTGATCCAGGTGATCCAGTTGAGAGCATTGGGACGATGTCAGGGCTGCTGAAGAAAATAAAAGATTTTGTACAAACGGAGAACCTTGAAACGGATACTCCTGGCAGAGACAAGAGTCCTCCTGCTAGTTGTAGTGGACAAATTTCAAATGAGAAAAATAATGCGGCCCCAGTTATACCCGAAGATTTTCGCTGTCCCATATCCCTGGAGTTGATGAGAGATCCTGTTATTGTCTCAACTGGACAGGTACTTGAGCAGTTGGCTCCGAAAAATGATAGTAAATAGTTTCAATGTTAAAGTCTTTCCTTACTATACTTGTCATTATGTGTAATCCCATTATGTGAGATCCCACGTCGATTAGAGAGGGGAACGTAACATTCTTTATAAGGGTGTGGAAACTTCTCTCCAGTAGATGCGTTTTGAAACCTTGAGGGGAAGTCCGAAAGAGAAAGCCCAAAGAGAATAATATCTACTAGTGGTGGGCAGTTTACATCCTCATCCTCATGATACAAGTAGATATAGGTACAATATCAGATTGAGAGATTTTAGTATTGGAGTAGATTTAATGCTTAGTTTCAGAAGGAATCAGTTATTTCATTGCTAGTCTAAAATAAAGGGTAGCTCTCTGCTGATTAACCATATTATTTGTTCTTATAAGATTAGCTGAAATATGTGACATATTACGCCTTTTATATTCTTCTGATTTGATACCTTAGTAGCCACTACTCTGGTGCTGATTATGTATTTAATACAAAACCAAAATTTTCTTTGCTGCAGACCTATGAACGTTCCTGCATTGAGAAGTGGTTTGAAGCAGGGCACGGAACATGTCCAAAGACACAACAGAATCTTTCAAGCACTACTCTTACCCCCAATTATGTGTTGCGTAGCCTTATAGCCCAGTGGTGCGAGGCTAATGGTATTGAACCACCAAAACGACCCAGCAGTGATCAATCATGTAGAAGCTCATCATCTTGCTCGGCTGCTGAACGCACGAAGATTGATATTCTGCTCTGCAAACTTGCATCAGGAAATCCTGAAGACCAACGATCTGCAGCTGGTGAGATCCGACTTCTTGCGAAGCGGAATGCAGATAATCGTGTTGCAATTGCTGAGGCTGGTGCAATACCTCTTCTTGTTGGCCTTCTTTCAACTCCAGATTCTCGTGTTCAAGAGCATGCTGTGACAGCACTTCTTAACCTTTCTATATGTGAGGACAATAAGGGAAGCATCATTTCCTCTGGGGCAGTTCCTGGTATTGTGCTCGTGCTCAAGAAAGGGAGCATGGAAGCCCGGGAGAATGCTGCAGCCACTCTTTTCAGCCTTTCGGTTGTGGACGAGAATAAAGTTCGAATTGGTGCCTCTGGAGCTATCCCGCCGCTTGTTACGCTGCTTAGCCAAGGCACTCAAAGAGGCAAGAAAGATGCCGCAACTGCTCTTTTCAACTTGTGCATCTACCAAGGAAACAAGGGAAAGGCAGTGAGAGCTGGTGTAGTTCCAACCTTGATGCAGCTTCTCACCGAACCTGGATCCGGAATGGTGGACGAAGCCTTAGCCATCTTGGCAATACTCTCTAGCCATCCCGAAGGGAAAGCAGTGATCAGATCTGCAAAGGCAGTGCCAGTTTTGGTAGATGTTATAGGGACAGGATCCCCCAGGAACAGAGAGAATGCAGCTGCAGTTCTCGTGCATCTCTGCTCTGGAGATGAACAACACCTATTAGAGGCCAGGGAGCTTGGAGTGATGAGTTCATTGATAGATTTGGCACAAAATGGCACGGATAGAGGCAAGCGAAAAGCTGCACAGTTGCTTGAACGAATGAACCGACTCTTAAGAGCACACGGAGGAGACTCGGGTGCAAGCACCAGAGTCTCAACCTCAAAACCAGCCATCCCTATCGAGCACTACGACGGAAGTCGCTGGTAGCTGAGAGAGGACTTCGTTTCTTTTGTTCCTTTTTACATGTAATCAAAGAGGCAGCTTTGCTTCACAATGAGGAGGTGGAAGATCACCTACCTAATCTGTAAGTTACCATAATTCATAATTTATTGTGTGTGTCGGGTTGGAAGACCATATCCAAGGAAATGATCTATGTTGATGATTATTAAGAGGAGTAGTCTCACATTAAGTAATTAAGAGAAAGATCACCGGTATGAAATCTTTTGAAAGTAAAGCCATTAGAATTTATATTCAAAATGGGAAGTCATATTTTCAAGTATGGTAAAGGCATGAAATCACTCTATAAAACTTTATCGCCTGAACTAATTTTTATTATTATATAAACATATAGAGATTAATTCAAGTCGATGAAAAGTTGAATATTAGAATGAAAAAAAATTAATGTAGTAAGAAATTTGAAAAAGAACAACATGAAGTATGTCGGATAGAAAAAAAAAAAAAAAGTTGAAGTTTGATCATTTGTCAAAAAGTTCATTATCACATGTATCTCAAAATATTATGGGTCCAAATTGTTTGGGCCCTCAGGGCCAGCACAAAAGCAGTTTTTTTTTTTTTTTTCACTCGGAGATAGTTCTATGAGGTGGTAACAAACAACTAAACTTAAACACGGATTTCATATTGCAATATCTTACCATCGTGGACAATATCGGGACAATATCGTACTATCGTGGTGATTGTGATTCCTAACTATTTTCACTCAATCGCTAAATTTGTTATTGTCTTGGGCCTACATATTGAACAGCCCCTAAAAAAAAAAAAAGTGTTTGGTAAGTAATATTGTTAGCAATGTTGGGAAAGGCGCAGGGCAGATGCGGAGACAGAGAAAAGGAGGTGGCAGCGGCTTTACAGCTTTGCTATGGCTATCGCCTTTGCCCTTCCGAAGGATCACTGATACCCATCTGCCACACGCATGTGCATTCATCAACGCAATTTCTCCCACTACATTTCCCTTCTCTCTCTCCCATAACTACTTTACAATTCTTTTATAAAATGGTTTATAAAATGATGAATATAATTTTTAAAATTCTTACTCATAATTAGTATTTATTTAATAAGATATTATATTCGATTCGAGACATTAATTCCGTCCCCTACCAAAGAAACCGCGTAGATTGATGCATGTGAAGGTTGACCCTAATTCAATGGAAGGTCCCTTCATGCATTTGTAGTAACAAAAAAGAAGTGGAAAAAACTTGGGTCCTACTATTTGCCTCACTCCTCGTGCGAGAGAGAGAGAGGGGGATGTTAAAGCTGCAAAATTTGGTTTGTTTTTGCTACAAATTTAAGCCTCTCTGCAACAAAAGGCCAAGCTTTTTGCATGGAAATCATCAACCCATAAGAAAGAAAGAGAAAAAGAAGTGTAAGGTGTCAACAAAATGGATAGGGGAATTAGATTCCCATGCCACCAACTTCACCCACCTTTTTCCTTTTTTGTTATTATTATTCTTTCTTCTAATCCTCTAAAATCAACACAATATTGATACCCACTTAATAAACATCATTTTTCTATTGAGTTCATTTCTAAAATATTCCATAATCAGATCTTTAGTTACTTGTTCAATTTTTGTTTCTCTTTTTTGACTTAGGTGTAAATTTCGATTCTAAAAGCTTTCACGCGCATTCATATGAACGTGTTTCTTGGTTTGAAGTTTGGAGTATACTAAAACATTGAATATAAAGGAATGAGAATTAAATTTATTGTAGATTTGAAGACTTGTAAATTTTAGAATTAAATGCAAGTTTTTTGTTTAAAGGAGATTGTTAGATAGCAGTGGTATCCGAGCCAGACACTAAGTAGCGTACCAACGAAGACGTTGGGTCCTAAGGAGGATAGATCATGAGCGTCGAGTAATTGTGTGATTATATAGATGGATGATAGAGGTGGGATGGGGCCGAGGAGGAGTGACGTGGCAAGAAGAATATGTCCAACATGGAGCATCCCATGAAAGGTGATTGAGGTTGATTGTCCCCTCTTTGTGTTTCTCCGACCTTCCCTCCACGCTACCGCGTTTCCTCCACTTCTAATTACTACTACTGTCCCCCCCTCTCCTTTCTCTCTTTTTTCTGTCCAAAATTCTCAAAAAGGGTTTGGAATTATGAACACAAACAACAAATAAGTCTCACTTGTTTTCTTCGTCTTCATCTGTAATGTCCCGTGCCGAATTTAACACTTGATAGCTTCGACATTCTCATCTTATAGAATTACATTGCTTGCTTATCTCAAAGTGTTTTTAAGAGTGAAGACTACAAACCAACTCAGTTCCTTTCGACATGTTTTATCCTCGCTACCATGTTTTCTAGGAAAATTATCAAAATGTTACTTAACGTAGAATTGCTAGTGTTTCTGAACATTCATATATCTCTCCTTATCTCGAGGGTTACATGTCCACCAACTTTTGTTTTGTTTGTTCCACATGTAACACCCTTTTCCTAGGATTCCAACCAAGATTTGGAATTTAGATTTGACATGTGACGGTTTCGTTATATCTCTGCATCTCCTGCGACATTATCAAATTATTTACTTGTTTTGAATTGGTTCTACTAATGGAGACAAACTGATTCTACGAGTGAAGACTATTGCTACAAATATAACACTCGAATGGAGATTATAAGTAAAATCCCTCGAAGTACCCGTGAATCAAACTCTCGAAGTCTTTGATTCATAATTAAATAGGTGAAGTTCAAAATGTTGGGCCCAGGGGAGGACGTTGAGATGGTATGCCATGTTTGAAGCCATTTCAAGTCAAGATTCTCATGCTCCAAGCATCTCAACGACAATCAGTAGTATTGAGACGCTATAAACTTGAGGGTTGTAGCTCATTTCATCACAAAACACGTGCTTTTTTTTTGTTCAGAGTGTCTTGACATCTAATTAAATGGTTGATCATGAGTGAACATTATCTCCATTGGCATGTCACCCTTTGAAAAAACAAAAAACAAAGTCATAAAAGCTTATGTTCGAAGTGGACAATATCATACCATTGTGGAGCTCGAGATTTGTCAGATTATGATGGAAAAATAAAAGCATTTCAAAACATAATTTTAAAGGGTTGCTTCGCAACGAAGAAACGACACCATTTTTGTTTGGTCACTTCAAAAGGTTTCCTATGAAACTAGATACAAAAAAAAAATATCACACGAGATGAGCTAATTTTCATTCCAAGTCTCAATCTAAGAAAAAGTTGAGATTTTTATTTAATAGAGAGAAGATTTATATGATAAAAAGGATAATACAACAAATAAGAAAGACATAAATGAGTCAAAAAGTCATGAATTCCAAAGTAAAATGATTGTGGCATTAAAGTTAAAAAGTGACCAAAGTCCCATATACTTAATAGTGAAAAAGTTACTAAAAAAGGGATTCATAATAAAGATGGCATAATTATGTTTGAATCTCTTTGGCTTTTAATTCATTTTATTTGTGAGCATCTCTTGCTACAAAAATCTAAAGTTTGGAAAGAAAAAAAATTGCAATTTTGTCAAAGATTTAAGTAAATAATTCAAATCATACAATGTGAAACACAAATTCGCCTTTTCACGATGATTTGAAAACATATCCTGAACAAAAATAAATTAATAAAATGGTAAAGGTTTGATTATATAATTTTTTTACTCCAATCATAAAGTTATGGTTGATGTATGAGTAAAGAAATGGTATATAAATGAACTGAAAGCATATCTGAATTAAGAGTCATTTTGAAGATATGATGGATAAAAAAAACTTGATGCTATGTTGGTCCGGAGGGATAATTTTCACTCTTAAAAGCAATCCAAGATACATAGAAGAATGTCGAGTTGAGATTTCAAATCCTTATGTGAATTTTGAACCGAGAATTCATTATTTAGTATTGTAATTCTCTCTCTAGAAGACACATTTTAAAACCGTAAAGCTGATGACGTTATATAACGGGCAAAAACGGGTCAAAACGAACAATATCTACTAACGATAGATTTGGAATAAAGTGTTAAAAGCACCTTGAAACATCCCAAAAAGATATCCTACTAAGATAAATGAAAGAAAGAAAGAAAGAAGGTCATGTGGAATGGAATTGTTTATGATTTGAGGTCAATAATAAGAATGGAAATGGTTATAGTTTTGTGGAATTGAATGGAATGGCTTCCATGTGAGTCCCACACAAAAGCTATGTGAAACTAATGTGGTCGTAAAAGGTAAAGGGTTTTCAGGCATATGTCATTGGCAAACCCCCTCAATTATGTGTCTTTTATTACCTATTTCTCAACCCCACCACCAAAAACCAAAACCCTAATACCTTCACATACAAGCTTTTCTACCCGATCCATCACCATTCAAGCCCACAACTAGCAAATATAAAACGCACCCTTTATAAGAAATGTTTTGTTCCCCCTCTCTAATCGACGTGGGATCTTTCAATCCACTCTTTTAAGAGCCCAGTGTCCTCTCTAATACACCGTCCAGTGCGTGGCTTTAATATTCCATCTTTTTCTCTTTCCTTTGGAGGGTGTTAGCCACACAGTGCACGGATCAAAAGCACACCTCCAGTGTCTGACTCTAATATTCCATCTTCGAGGGGGTTAGCCACACCGTGCAGAGCTCAAAAGAGGATCAGCAGGAAGCTTATAAGCGAAGGAAGGTCGCTCCACTGAAACCCTAAAAATATAATAAAACAAAAAGATAAGGAAGAGAATGAAGGGAATAAGAGAGGAAAGTTAAAAGAAAAGCTTCCACAGCCATTACCTTTAATTCTCTCATCTTCTCCTCTTCCCCTTCATCATCTTTCTTTCCCTTTTCCTTTCTTTTCTTTTCTTTTCTTTTCTCTTCTTTTCTGTTTGCCTCTGGTATCCCCCAACTGCATGCGATTCTCCACCTTCAAATTTTACTTTATCAAAAGCTAAAAGACCAATCCCTCCATGGATTTCTCTTCTGTTCCACTCTATTTAGATCCTCCTCCCAATTGGCATCAGGTAATGGTTTTCTTCTTCACCTAGGCAAAGAATTATTCCCTATTCCCTCTTTTCTATTGAATATCCCATATATATCTCAAGTTTTTTCTTCTTCTTTTTTGTTGTGGGTTTTGCAGCAATCAAATCATCATCATCATCTTCACATACCCAATAATGGATCTCCTCACCATCT